TTATTATCCCATAGGAGTGTGCACACGATACAGGCAAACGTGTCTGAAAGCAGAAAGAATTCAGTTATATTTTTATATATATGCCAGTTCTTTCAATTATATGCATATATGCCAGTTCTTATTGTTACGATTATTACGGCTGTTATTTTGGGTTTCTACGAAGTATCATGGTTATGTACTCACGTCCCACTATTAATGATATTTCAAGTAATGCAGTCGAGCGTGCAGACTGAGCAAAGGTGAAGGTGGTCGAGCTTAAATGGCTAATAAAGGACATTTTGATGTTCTGTAATAAATAATGATTCGTGATGAACCATGTTTAGTTTCCACTATCCTTAAATTTTGTAACGTCGAATAATGCATGATTTCAGTATTTCATTATATCAATCTATCCCAATGTGTGATTTAGATTGAATATTTAAATAGGTATTCGACAATAATGTTTTTCTTTAAGTCCTAAACCAGTATCTTAAGCCTAATTATAAGAAAAATATTTTCAGAAAGAGAAAAGGGAACATCTTGAGATAATTTGAGTATTGTTCGAAATTATTATAATTAGTTTTTGAAAAGCGAAAAATTTACTCTGATTTCAAGCATTATAAAAGCAGGGTGATACAATTAATATAAAATATCCTTACAGCTACGACCACACCACACTCATGCCACGCTGACTCCGAGGTAAGGAATGAAGTAAGTTTTAATACCAACCAGTATATTATTTTTATTGTCTGAGAACCTTAGAATTGTTCGATTAGATGAAATTCTAGAAATAAGTGAGATAACAAGTAGCTAATGCAGTACTAGCCATACTACTGAAATCTTTTAATGAAATGGCAAATTGGCTACTCAGATGACAAATCGCAGAGTTCAAGTCCCTGTACATGTGAAAGAAGATTTTGATCAATCACGAATAATCACTCAATTCCATGGATTCCATCCTGATAAGTTCAATGGGCAAGAAGATCCACGAGTAGTGGACGAATGGTTACGAAGTCTTGAAATGATTTTTGAAGCAATGGGATGCCCTGAACAACATCGAATTCCTTGCGCCCAGTTTCAAATGACTGGGGATGCTAGCCTTTGGTGGTTAGCATATTGGGAGATGAGGCCTGGCGAGAAAGCTGGCCTAACTTGGTCTCGATTTATGGAACTTCTACACAAAAAGTGTTATCCGACTCACTATAGGTCTCAGATGGAGAGACAATATCTAGATTTTGAGCTGAACAACATGACCGTGGATGAATATGAAAGAGATTTTACTCGTTTGGGGTTTTTCATGTCCTACATGATAGATACTGAAGAAAAATGATCCAGACGCTTTAGTGACTGATTGAGAGATAATATCTATCACCACCTCTCCGGAATGGAAAAATAACTTATGCTAAAACGGTTAACTGGGCTCAGCAAATTCATGCTAGTCTCTAGAGGGAAGCCAACTGTAGTTGTGAACCAACCATGCCACAAACAATATCACCCCCAAAGCCTCATATATTTAACCAACAAGCCAATGACAAGAAAATGAAATGGAAGAACTGAAATGACGATAAAAGAAATCGTCAAAAGAGACCTGGACATGCAAACCAGCAAGCACCTCCAGTGCCAAATTGTGGAAATTGTGGGAAAAAGCATAGTAGAGAATTCTTAGCGAGGAAAGATATATGTTATACCTGCTGAAGGACGGGTCACACAACTCGTATGTGTCCTGATCGAATTCAAAACCAGTAGGGTCAGCACCAGCAGGCCCATAATCAACAGCAGGGAGCGTAGGCACGAGTCTATGCAATCACTCCTGCAGAAGTGAGTGAACAACCAGGTACCATGTCAGAAATGGATTAGTGATATAATGTACCTATGTTGGTATTATTTGATACTAAGGCGACTCATTTTTAAAAGAATAAATGTTCAATGGTCATATGAATATGAAGAATTTATACTCTTAATTCCCTTTAAGCTAATCTAGTTTCAGGGATAAAAGATAGGAAAAGAATGGCAAAGAACTCTAGCATTTGTATTGATGGCCAACCTATATGTGATTGAACAAAATGAACTGGATATCACTAGTGAGAAAGGTTGGCTAGAATAGTAACTAGACTTATTTTAGCACGAGGATAATGCTAGAATGAAGTTTCTTATCAAAGTTTAAACTCCAAGAAATTATTATATTTATTGAGGATCAAGTACAAAGGGACATCAAACACGAGGAAGAAAAACCTCAATAATACATAACAAGAACCAAAAAGTATGGTGCGTCTCGAGAGTCTAGTACGCCATAACTCAGCCACCCAAATTGGAGTCCTAGGTTCATTATGAAAGATCTATAGAGTCACAAGCTCATTTTCGCTTAATCCCTAGAGCTTCCACAGAATCTTGAAGGATGATGCTTTCTTGAAGTGTCTTGATAAGTTCAGCTGTAGTATCTACAGATTTGAAGATATCTCAAGTTGAAGAAGATATGAAGTTTTGATACAAACCTTTATCTAGAATTCCATGCAAGTCTTGGAAAAAGTTATAAAAAATCTCAAGTTGAAGCAGATATCTCGTTATGTACAAATCACAAACTCAATAGCAAACGTAAACTTATGCGCAGCGGATCTAGAGGTTTGACCTAGAAAACTTACGGCTTAAAATTTATGGCAATCTGGCTGATCTTCAAATGAATTGACCGGGATGTACACATGAACCGAATTGGATCACAAACGGAAAGTAGGGCTCGCGATCAGGTCGGGTCGCGTGTAGGTCGGGTCAACGGGTCGTGTCACGTCAGAGCTGGCCATGTCGAGTTGGCCTCCAGCCATGACGTGGATCGGGGCGTCGGTCGTGTCGCGATCAGGTTGGCACATCACGACAGTTCGTGGCTGGTCAGCGATCCTTGGGCTCGGGCTCATGGATCGCCGATTGCTATAGATGATCACCGAGTCTCGAATACCTTTGAATCTTCTAATGTAATACTCTTACACCTCTTCAACTTGTATCGGTGGACCAACAAGAAAAAGATAAGACTCGAATGAGATATATATATATATATATATATATATGTATATATATAGGGAGAGAGAGAGAGAGAGGAGCGCGGGTCAAGAGAACGCAAAGGCCTAGTTCGTTTACGACGATCAGTATAAAACAAACTCCTCCTCTCTGGGATCCTGTTCAATACATAAATATACTAGTGCTACTAATTAGTCAAGACAAAATTTACCGTTGACACTACAACCGTTCGGATGGGGTGTCCATGTCCATCTAGGTTGTGAACCATAATTCTTGTTTCGCAATTAATTGATAGAATAATTTTCGGTTCGCCCGATGTCGACCCACTCTATCTAAGTCCAAAAGAACATAACGTAAAACTTGTTAACTCTAACATGATTCTCATTCATAAAGGGTAAATGTGTAATATTATCCAAAGCCAAGATTTCAGTATATAACACTAACAATCTCCCATTTATACTTAAAGCTTTCGCTTTTACAAGTATGGTTTTATCAAATCCTCCCGAGTCTTCTAACCTGCACATCAACGGCGACAAAAAATTAAAAAACGAACGAAAACACAAGAAAGACCAAAATAGAGCGAACCACGAAATAAACTACAAAACAAACTAAAAACCAACTAAAAGAACTAACATTGGGGAAAAAGAAAGGCAAAATGACAACGAAAAATGCAAGAAAAATAGGACAAACACCGATCTCTGAACTGGGCTCCATTATCTGATATGAGCATTCGCGGAATGCCATACCAGCAGCAAATGTTAGCAAACAAAAACTTAATCACTATTTTCTTAGTAATCTTGGCCAAAGGCTCAACTTCAATCCATTTTGAAAAATAATCCATCGCAACCACTAAAAACCTGCGCTGGCCCATTGTCATAGGCAATGGCCCCACAATATCTATTCCCCATTGGGCAAAAGGTAACGGCGAGCTCATCAGTATCATACCCTCTGCAGGTCGGTGGAGGAGCGATCCGTGTTGTTGACACTCGATGCATTTGCGTACCAACTCTTGCGCCATCTTCATTGTGGGCCAAAAGTACCCTACTTGCAACACTTTCCCTGCCAAGGATCTAGCTTTCTCATGATCCCCGAAGCTCCCCTCATGATTTTCCCTTAGCACGTACATGCCTTCACCCTCTGAAATACACCTTAAATGTGGCCCCGCATAAGACCTCATGTATAGCATCCCATTTTGTACATAGAACCTCATAGCTCGCCTTTCCACCGAATCACTCTTGACGTCCTTCTCTATTGGTCCATGCAGCCATTTAATCAATAGCGACCACCAATCCTTCTTCTCATTGATTTCTAGAATTTTATCCAGGGCACTGCCTGGTAACTCCAAAAGAGTTATCGATCACGAATTGAAATCCACCAATGATGTTGCCACCTTAGATAGAAAGTCAGCTCATTCGTTTTCAGCGCACGGAACTTGCACCAGCTCCCATGACTCAATCCCTTCCAGTAACAACCTTACCTCGGCTGCGTATTTTTTCATTTGCTCCTCTTTGGTATTATACTCTCCATTAACTTGCTCCATTACAAGTTGTGAGTCAGAATGGAATTTTACACACCGAGCTCCTTCTTTCAAGACAAGTTGTATTCCTTGTAGCAGAGCTTCATACTGCTTCATTGTTGGAGACCCGAAAAGTTATCTTCACAGTGAATTTCAAGTATCCCTCCTCGGGAGAGACAATTAGGATACCCAGCCCGACACCCCCTACTGTCGAAAATCCATCAGTATATACCTCCCAGCCTTTTTGAGGAGAGCTGTTCACAGTGCATTCTTGTATAAAGTCAATATCCGAACTCCATATTGTACTCTTCAAGTTCTACCGCCCATTTCACCATCATTCCAGAAGTGGAGGGGCGACCTAAAACATCCTTTAACGGGTAATTAGTCCTCACAACCACCTTGTGGGACAAAAATAAGGTTGTAGTTTTCAGACAATGGCAATAAGTGCCAACGCAGCCTTTTCTATCTCAGAGTAACAACGCTCAGCTCCTTGTAGTATGCGGCTGGTATAATATATCGGTTTTTGCCGGCCTTCTTCATCCTTTAGTAACACCGAGCTGATGGCCTCTCCCCTGCAGACAAATATACAACCAAAACATCGTCGGGCTCTGGCATCGCTAGTAAAGGGAGCTCGGCCAGAAACTCCTTCAACCGATCAAACACTTATTGAGCCTGGGATGTCCATTTAAATCGAGACCCCTTCTTCAAGGCACGAAAGAAAGGAAAGTTCTTTTTTGCAGCCTGGGCAATGGATCAGCTCAGCCTGGCCAGGCGTCCTGTCAAAACCTAAAACTCCTTTAAATTCCTTGGCACCTCCATCTCTACTACAGCTTGGACTTTTCAGGGTTCACCTATATACCTCTTTCTGTCACCAGATATCCTAGGAATTTTCCCGACCATACCCTGAATTTGCACTTGGTCGGGTTAAGATTCATGCTATACTGCCGCAGAGTATAAACATTTCCCTTAGATCCGCTACATGGTCAATTTCCCTCTTACTCTTGACTATCATATCATCAACGTAAACTTCCATGTTTTGACTTATCGGCTCCTGGAACAATCTATCGACCAACCTTTGGTAGGTGGCTCCTGCATTTTTTTGTCCAAAAGTCATAACGACGTAACAGTACGTCCCTTTGGACGTCACTAAACTCACCCTCTTGCGATCCTCTTCTGCTAAAGGAGTCTGGTGATAGCCTTGTGATGCATCCATCATGCTCAGCAGCTCTTTAACGCCCTACTTTTATTTGACGAAAGTCAAGGACTTTTCAAAAAGTCAACTTAAAATTTTTCAAAAATCACATAAATAACATACATCAAACTTTCATAAATCATAAATCATAAATCCTAAGTTTTCATAAATCTTAAGTTCATCCAAATTACTCATAAGGGAACATTTCAAATCCAAAGTTCTAAAAATCCCCAAGTCATAAATGCAAAAATAAATAGTCTAACATGCAGAATAAACTAAATGAGGTCAGTGAAAGACCAACACCACTCGTCTTTTGTCTCTTCAGCCAACACCTACTTAACCTGCATCCATGAAGAGCAGGTGGGAGTGAGCACGATGAACTGTAGTGCTCACTACTATGCGCATGAATAATAATATTATACGAAAAATTAAATGGTATGGTCGCAGTATGAATATAATCAATAAACATCCCATCTCCTACCCAAAGTCGTAAATCCTTCTCATGTGCACACCTATAACAATAGACTGCTGCTCTTATGCCTTTCGGCGAACATAAATGGGATGCCCAAACAGCAGGAGGCTCAACCGTCACAGCACGCACCTAGTGCTGAGACAGGATATCCATCACCGGCCAGGGCACATTGCCAAGGTCTTACAGATGACGTGGTTCTTAGCAAAGGACAATTGAGGAGATTACCTTTGCGGGGTACGTTCTATAGCTACAGGGATAACCGTTCGACGGCCGGCACAGCTCACATCAAAGGTTACATGCTCACATGCATACGTTGATCATACCCACATAAATAAAGCAATTATCATTCAAGACATAGACAATTTCGAACAACCCGCCTAGATACCGAGATATATCCAAACACAGGGTCGAAGGAATTAGGGCAAAAGTTCAGCTCGAAGAACCTACAAAAATTATAATATCCTATCTACTGACTATACAATACAACACATCACACAAGACACATATACTTAGCTGAAATCATATCGACTAAGTGACTCGTGGATACCTTGACCGAGTTAAGTACAATGGATTGATTATTAGACCTAAACAAAACTCATATACCTCAGGCAATACACATAAGTCATGCCAACATCAATAAAATCCAACCCGAACCTAAACAACGGATAACCGAGCACTAAGACTCCAAAATAAACAAAATACAGAATTGGGAGCTAGGTTTAACCAATCAACCTGAAACTTTACCACATCATAGGGCATACAAAAATAAAAAATCTCACCAAGTTTCAGCCCTTAAATCATCCGAGAACATTTTCAAATAATTGAAGCAAAAACTGACCAAAAATGAATTGAATTATTTAAAACATGTAACACCCCACATTACTGTAAAATCAGAGTAGCGCAATTTATTCGCAAAGTCTTTGAAAACTAAAACATTTTTACTTTGCGAAACCAATTCGGGGTGCTACCGTGAAAATCGTTACTTAACTTAAGAAAACCGTTGTTTTAGCTTATTAAAAACGTCCGGTTACTGAAAACTTTATTTTCTGAAAATTTCATCAAAATATGATAAGTTCGTCAAATTCATCAAAACATCGTCAAAAGCATATGTCAAAAGATATCAAAATGTAAGCGGAAGCGTAAGTAATAGTTATACAGTCCAAAACATATATATGAATATCCT